TGATCTGTCGGCTAGTTGTAGGGACATCTTGGTAGGTCTCATGTCGCCTAATTTGAGCTTCTCGCAAATAGATAAGGGCATTAGACTAACACTGGCTCCTAAATCGCATAGAGCTTTGTCTATGATAGATTTCCCAATTACACATGGTATGGAGAAACTACTAGGATCTTTTAGCTTTGGAGGCATGTTATTTTGAATTATGGTGCTACATTCGGCAGTTAGCATAACGGTTTCGTTTTCAACGATTTTTTTCTTATTAGACAATATTTCTTTTAGGAATTTAGCATATGACGGCATTTGTGTTATAGCTTCTGTAAATGGAATAGTAACGTTTAATTGTTTTAGAAGTTCTACAAATTTCTTGAATTGTCCCTCGTTCTTGGATTTTGCAAGTCTTTGGGGGTATGGAATTGGTGGTTTATATGGTGGTGGAGGCACGTAAGGTTTTTCTGAAGCCTCTCTGTTCTCATTCGCGTTTTCCTCTACTTTTTCAGATTGATCTGTCGACTTCTCTACTTCTTTTTTAGGTTTTTGATACATGGTCGGGTTTTGGAGTCTAGGATCTATCGGTCCATCAAGGGCTGTCCCACTTCGTAATATGATAGCATTTGCATGTCCTTTAGGATTGGGTTGCGGCTGTCCAGGAAATGTACCAGCAGGTGCGGCAGAACTAGCTTGGTGTTGTGCTACTTGGGAGATTTGAGTTTCTAACATTTTATTGTGAGTTGCTAGGGCATCTACCTTATTTGCTAATAGCTTCAACTGTTCACTGGTGTGAACGTTTTGATTGAGGAATTCTTTGTTTTGTTGGGCTTGATTAGCGATAAAATTTTCCATTAGGATTTCAAGGTTAGATTTCTTAGGAATGTTAGGAACATTAACAACGGGTTTTTGATAACCTGGAGGTACAACAGGTGCTTGGCCAGGTGCATATAAAACGTTATTGTTCTTGTACGAGAAGTTAGGATGGTTCTTCCAACCAGGATTATAGGTATTAGCATAAGGATTACCTTGAGCGTAATTTACCTGATCAACTGATATTCCTGCTAAGATTTGACATTCGGTTCCAATATGACCAGGAACTCCACAAACTTCGCAGCTTGGGGTAACTGCAGCCACGGTAGCTGCAGGAGGTAAGGTCAAGCTTTCTATCTTTTGGGTAAGAGCATCTACCTTAGCATTAACTTTATCTAGGCTACTAATCTCGTACATCCCACCTTTGGTTTGAGTTTTCTCCATAGATGTTCTTTCTCCTCCCCACTGATAGTGGTTTTGAGCCATGTTTTCAATGAGTTGGTTAGCTTCGTCATAAGGCTTGTCCATCAGTGTACCACCTGCGGCGGCATCTATAGAGAGTCTTGTGTTGTACAAGAGTCCATTATAAAACGTGTGGATGATCAGCCATTTCTCTAGTCCGTGATGTGGGCACATTCGCATCATGTCTTTGTAGCATTCCCATGCATCGAATAGCGATTCAGTATCCTTCTGCCTAAATCCGTTGATTTGGGCTCTTAGTGCAGCAGTCTTGCTCGGGGGAAAGTATCGTGCTAAAAATACAATCTTCAGTCCTTTCCACGTAGTGACGGAATTTGATGGCAAGGATTGCAACCAAGCCCAAGCTCTATCTCTTAGCGAGAAAGGGAAAAGACGTAATATTATTGCATCTTTACTAACACCATTTTCTATAACTGTGTCGGCAAATTGAACGAATTTTGTAAGATGTTCATTTGGATCCTCGGAAGGATCTCCAGAGAATTGGCGTTATTGGATAGCTGATATCAATGACGGTTTCAACTCAAAATCGTTTCGGTTTATTGCTGGAGCAGCAATGCTGTTGTGGGGTTCTTGTTGTGATGGAGCTGCGTACTCCTTCAGTGGACGGGTCCTTTGTTCTTCGGCCATGTCTAATTCTGGATTGGTTTCGGTCTCAGAGGAAGAATTAGAATATGTTTCAGAATCAATCTTGATTTCGGGTTTGGGTAAAGGAATAGCGTGATTTAAACAGTAATCCCTGATTGCACGTCTTACGAAAAGAATGCGTTCAGGTTCGTCCGTCGATTTGTCAAGTGGTTCGCCTTGTGAGCGAGTCCTTGGCATACAAATCGAAAAAAGGTATATGTTGCCTAGTCTAAACGCGCAACAGAAGAATCGTAATTAATTGACTACCAGTCCCCGGCAACGGCGCCAAAAACTTGATCGGGACTTTATAAGTCTGTCGGGATACTAACTGCAAGTATACAGTTCAGTCGTTCTAGTTTTAAAAGATTATCGAACCCACAAAGACTGAGGATCAATCGCATACGATCTAATGCTATAATTTGTTTAACTAAGCGATGAATATTCGATTTTTGGGGGGAAACAATTTAATTAAAATAATGGTAATAGCTATACCGGTATGTGATAGTCGGACTTCGGGAATTTGGTGAATCGCTTGGCCTATAAAGTATTTCGGTAAAAAATAATTGTTTAAAAACTTGAGACATACACTCTCGTGTTCATGAAATAAGTTATGCTACTAAACCTAGTGGATGCACTTTAAATTTAATAACACTTTTTGAAAATAATTTGAGTTTAATTAATTTATTAAAACACTCTCGTGTATTTAAAAATTAATGTTTCGTTACCACTATCTGGGTTGAACTCCAGCTCTCGCATGCAGGTTCTTGCCTTAATTAATTTCCCACTCTCGTGGCAAAATCATGTTAATTAACATCTCACTCTCGTGACAAGGATAGTTAAATTAATCTTGGAAATTGGAAACCAGAAATTGTTTTATAAATAAATATTTTTGGCCAAGGTATCACTGAATTCTTTCGGTTCTTAAGAGTCACATACCAGTACGAATAATTTAGCCGGACATAATAGATTTAACAACAATGCAATTCAAAATATAATTCATAAAAATAATTGGCATAATACAAAAATTGAATAAATATTAATTGCAATAAAAACCTGGAATTAAAGTTGCTATGGTAATCTTGAAGTATTACAATATTCCTTGCAACTTGATTGAAGTAAATGAATTGTGTTAATTCTTGAATGAAGAATTAACACCTAAAACTAAAGCTTGAAATAGAAATTACAGCAATGTAGAAAAAACTCTAAAAACAAGGAAATAGAAATAACTGCAAAAAATAATAAATTTGTTCTGAGAAAATTCCTTCGACCCCTTGCAGCTTTGCACTACCACACATATATATAGCAGAGGAAATAGCAGTTGAAAGTGTCTTGAGAAAAGATTGAGTGGAGGAAATATAAGGAGCATGGTTACTGAGTGGAGAGAAAATAGGAGAACGAGTTTGCCCTTGCGTTGCCCACGTCTCCACCCATTTACAACGTCCATCTTCATGCGCGTGACGGTCGTCACAGGTGGGTGACGGTCGTAACGCGCTTAAATAGCACATTACGCTCGTCAGTGATGTGTGACGAGCGTTATTCCAAGTTGGGGGGCGTTACGCCCGTCACAAGGGTGTGACGGCCGTCACTGCTCCAAAAATCTAAACTTTGTATTTTTAGTTCTTTTTCTCTTTGTTTATCGTCTAGCCTTCTTTGTGTTGTCCTTTTCCATTGGTTTGAGTTGACAAATGTTATACCTGTAAAAAGACAAATAGACTCGGAATAATCGGGGGTTAGATGACTTAATGTAATATAAAATCGGTAAAAAGCATAGTAATTATATGATACGTTTTCTCGTTATCACATATGGTATCCGTGCAATTTAAATGAGCACTCACATTTCCTCGTTCCTTTGTCATCTGGTTTCAAATTCCTAATCTTTGGTTGGCATGTGCCACTTCTTTCGCATACCACTATTACAAATGCTTATTTTATATCCAAACCATTACCTGTCCTTCCAATTACAACGACGAACCCCAAATTTTTGGCCTCCTTACAGGCCCATTGTAGCATATGTTCACGAGAAAAAAACACTTATTTATTTGTAAAATGTGGACGAACATCTACCTCTACAACGATCGATCGAGCATCCAGTTTAACATCATCATTCACTTCTTCTAATTAAACATCATCATTCACTTTATTCAGTTTAACATCATGATTCACTTCGACCAGTTTAACATTCACACTTACGGTATTTTGGGAAACATATCCGGGTGCACCATATCTATTACCACTAAAAACAGAAAAATAGTGTGAAAATTCAAACTAGCTGGACAATCTGGAGGTGCACTTTGAATCAGTAATAAAGTCATCCAGAGATGCATCTCGAGACTCAACGTTCATTTTTCTTCTTCAAAAATAGATTAATGCAAGGAATGAAGAATGAAAATAATGATATATACCTACAATTCCAACTTGTTTTGTTTCCTTTGAAGTGATGAAATACAAGAATGACATTATGGTGTTGAAAAGATGATTGAGATTGAGACAGTTCTTTTCAAGGATTTTTAGCAACAGTTGCTTGCTTTAGCATGAAGAACAAGCTCATGCAATGTGGTGTTTTATCAACCTTTCCGCTGAGTATTTTCGGAGATGCATATAAAAAATATCACTGAATTATTTTTTAAATTAGTTGAATAATTAACAAAATCCCATAAATGAGTGCATGCGGTATTTCAAAGATGCATCTTCAGATTCATTAAAACACTATACGAAGATGTATCTCCAGATTCATTAAAACACTATACGAAGATGTATCTCCAGACTATTTTTTTAAAACCAAAGTGAAATTAAAAAAGAAAAAGAAAATTTACATAGTTTTAAATACGTCTAAAAATATATCTCTGAAATCATGAATAACAAATTTAAATTTTCAAAGATGTCGTACGCTAATATAAATGTGGAAATAGTATTTTCCAATTAAAATAGTTCAATTATTTGTTTTTTTCTTTTTTTTTTACTTAAATTGGGTTAATTTGTGCCTAACTCTTTCGAGCTGATAAAAAAAAACTCATTTTAAATTGAATCGTAAGCGCTCAAAAAAATTCAAATCAGGGCCACCGTGTCACCGCGACGGCAACCGCCGCCGATTCGCTTCTGAAATGACGAATGTTGATGAACTCTTAACTTCCTTATCCTCAGATATAGCCACCTACACCGGCAAAGACCCTCTTCTTCCTTGGCTTCGGTAATCCACACCCTTCTCTTTCACACACACGCACACTTTCTCTCTGTAGTTCATGTTTTTCAATACTCACTCTTTTCAAACACTGCAGAGGAATCAAAAAGTTGAAGGACAATCTTCCCTCAAAAACCCTCAACGAAAAACTTCCCGAATTCTTGCAGAAATGCGCCCAAACATTCGAGCTCGACCGACGTTACAAAAACGACTTACGTTACATTCGAGTTTGGCTCCATTTGGTAACTGAATCAATCACCCTTTTACAGAAATATAATTTAGTTTTAATTTTTTTCGTGTTATCATGTTGGATTTAGAATATCTGTGATTAGGTTAAAACAAAGGGATAGTGAAATTTCGAATGATTTTTCCTTTGGAATTTGTAGATGGATTTTGTTGATGATCCGAGTGCGTTACTGAGAACCATGGGTGTTAATTTTATTGGAGTAAAACGTTGTCAATTCTATCAAGCTTATGCTCTTTACTATGAGAAGAATAAGATGTATGATGAAGCAGAAAAAATGTACCGTTTGGGAGCTAAGAAGTAAGTTTTTACCGTTTGATTTTTTTATAATGTTTTGATGCTTGTTTTCTCGAAATAGGGTTACAAATTCATTAGATTATGCTTCAAACTTGGTCAAATTCATGTTTACCTTGCTCGCCCCTATTGTTGAATCAATTGTGTTATATTGAACAACAAAAATAGGCGGTGATGATATAGTCACCACTCACCACCTACATGAAGTTGATGGTTAATGAGTTTCATCATTTAGTTGTACATGTGAAAATTATGATTAACCATGTCCAAATTCGTCGTTAATTTAGTTACATTGGTGGTTATGAGTTTCAACATCTGTTAGATCTATTAACCAGTTACCTGTTTGAATTGCATTACCACTATCGAAATTGTCAAGAAAGTTGTTTAAATTTGGTTGTACAAAAATATTTCTCTTGTTGAATATAGCCTTGCAGAGCCCGTGGAAGAAATGCAGAAATCTTATGAACAATTTCTTCAACGCATGAAGCGTAAGAAGAAAATTCAGGTAGTGACTAGCTTTTTCCTTTGTTTGTCCATCCATGCTGTTTTTGGCATCTATTTTTGTATTCTTGGTACTTGGTGCATTCCCGTGACATTTACTTTATCCTCATTAGTTATGTTTTGGACCACTATCTGAAATCCACAAGAAGTTCTACCGCATTAAAACCTCAATCTCTTGCCAAACATAAGCCTTCATACACCTCACAATTTTGCAACATACACAGTGCATAACTCTAACTTCTTTGAGAATTCTCCTAACCACTCCCCTTGACTTCTCCGGAACAAACCTCCGCACCCTACTAACCCTCCTTCCTTGCACGCCCCATCTCTGTATAGTCTCACTAACTTCTCCAGAACAAACCTCCACAGCCCTACTAACTCTCCTTCCTTGCACGCCCCATCTCTGTTTAATCTCATTCACTTCTCCGGAACAAACCTCCACACTCTACTAACCCTCCTTCCTTGCACGCACCAATCTCTGTTTAATCTCACTCACCCTCTAGGTGGTGACACTGAACTTGTTGGACCGGTTTATTGTGATTTTTATTAATAAAAAGGTAAGATATTCATCTCTGTTTAATCTTATGATTTTTTTCCTCATACTACATCAGGAAATGAGAGGTTCTGATAGACATGTAAAGGCTAAAAATGATGAGAACAAGAGATTTCGTGGTGAACATACAGTCGTAGTGAACAAGTTTGTTGACACTGCCATGGATGGAAAGTCTGAGGCAGAAAATGCATGCCATAATGGACTAGTTGATCCTACAATAAATATGAAGGAGGCAATGAATGCCATTAACAGCATGTTCAGTGAGCCACTGGAGACTGTTCCTTTGGCAAGGAAATCACATAAAAACGTATCAAAAGAAAACCGCAAGACAAATAGCAACTTTGAAGTTTTTGTTGATGAAAACTTGGACAATGGAATCAAACCAAGTGGTTCCTTATCGGATCAGCAAAGGACTGAAGCTGGCAAGCCTCACCAAGAATCATTCCAGATATATATTGATGATGAAGAACGTTCTGAAGGTTCTACTTCATCAGCTTCAAAAGTAAATGGCTCTGTTGTCCCCCGACCTAAGGACGTTCCTTCTAAAAAGTCTAGTGATATGGATGCACACAGATCTCGGAATTCAAAGTTCAGAGAGGATACAGATGTTCGCAGATTTGTTGGTTCTGCCATTTTGGATGAACCAGAGGTGGAAAATGTTTGTCACAACGGTTTAGTAGACCCCACAGTCAACATGAAGGAAGCAATGAATGACATAAATAACATGTTTGGGGAACCAATAGATTTTGTTAGGAGAAAAAGATCAGTGAAGGAGGAGAAGGCACCGGTGAACAACAGCGGAAAGGAACTCTGTGGGTTTTCAATCCTGGCTGATGATGATGTTGACCTTGAGCCGAAACAACGTCCTCCACTACCAAAATTGCCGCGAAAGTCAAAGGAATCTGATTTGTTTGAGCCAACTCTCCACACAAAGGAAGCCATGGATGACATTAACAAGATGTTTAATATGCCTCTGAATTTTTAGGAACAAAGTGCTTTTGTGGATGCATTTCCTCATGTTTCCTCCTTAGAGACTATTGTGTGGGTTGAACTATTTCACGTCCTCTTCAAGTGGATTTTGTTTTGGACAATGCTTATTGTTCCGAGAGAAGTTTGACAAGAAACACAAGAATGCTTCGTCACCACCCACTCTCCCATGTATGGTCAGTCAGGATCTAATTGGTCAAATATAAATTTTTATGCATTCTTATCATTTGTAACAAATAGCAGTGTTATTTAGTTTTCACAAGATTCAATTCAGAGACTTCGCTTGAGAATATCTTGTATACATTTGCGCACTGCAAACCTAGTGTAATGCCATTAAACCAACCCACAAGGGTAGGAACAAAGTGTTTTGCTGAGTGCCAATTTTATTTGTATTTTACAAGCAGAATTGTCTTGATTTTGTGTAGCATAATCAAATAAAAAGTTTCATTTCATTACTAAGTTTTTAAATATACACTCATGACTTTTACAAACTTTGTATGCTTATGGAACTCAAGCTAGAACAGTCAAAAACTCATCAGAAACATAACAAAAGATACAATTTAAGATTGAAAACTTAATACAGATACAAATCATAGAAACATCATAATAATAGTCAAAGAATCTCAATGGTTGATGAAGGGCAATTCATAATTGTCTGAGAAATTAGTAGTGAGTCTTTGAGCAATCTGGAGGATGGAAAGCCAAGGGACCAGCTGCATATATAACAGCCTCATACTTGCTTCCATGCAACCTCTTATTCTCATAACGAAGCGGAGAACCATTCAAACCATAATTAACATTCGACAAAAGAACGCAACTTTCAAGAGGAGACCAAAGAGGCTTCACAAAGCAAGAGTGAAGTGGATGATCTAATATATGCTGCATCTTGAACCCTTCTAATGGTGCATAGAGGTAACCATTTTTGTCTGTTTCAAGCACTTTGTAGAAGCTAACATGACCTTTGTAGCTTTTGCAGGTGATGCTTACTTTGGCTGAAGGAATTGGCTTGGCTCCAATTAGAGACCAAGTCCCTGAATGCTCACAGGTTTGACAGTAGACTGTAGTTTCCACAACTACATCTATTTTCTTCTCTGTTGTGTGTGGAATATTTTCACTAGCTTGTGTGTAAGTGAAGGCTACAAGGACAAGCAAGAGGGAAATGATGCTGCTGAGGTTTCTGCTAGCCATTTTCTCAAAGGTTTAAGGGAGGAGAAAGAGGTAGAGACAATGGTTAGTTATTGAAGAAAAACGTTTGATAGGTTGATATATATAGTAGATAATAGCTCATTGGTATATTTGGAACTTGGAGACTTTGATAGAGGGGATCAACGTGCATTCCTCCATTATGTTGACAATGTATTTCATATACTTTATAGTATTTAATTTCTATACGTGAAGGCCACCTTTTGCCATGTACATGTATATTTTCTTGCTATACCAAAATAAGAGTTTTTGGACTGGCCTATTTTTGTTCCAAAATTATTCTCTATCTTGTTTTTTTTAAATAACAAAATTACCCTCTATTTTTTTAAATAACAAAATTAAATTTAAAAACTTAAATATCTCGTTGCAAAGAAGTTTTTTCATTTTGTGTTTCATATTATGTTATAAACAAATTTTATAACTGGTTTTTGTAAAAGTAACCTCCTCTCAAGCAGTTTTTTCTCTTATATTTCTTCGGTTGTTTTACATCAACAATTCAAAATTAAATTTGAGAGAAAATTGGAAACACGAGATGATAAGAGAGATTAGTAAAGACTAACTCAAATTGACTTTATAATTATTGAGTATTGCTAATAATAAATGTCTATTCTCCTTTTTGCATAAGTTTTCATTTTGTTTATATTGAATTGCATATTTTATAAATTTAAAATTTGTTCTGCATTCAAGAATAGTGGTCTAAGGTGGAACTTTTTTTTTTAATCTCTTTTCAATTGAAGATTCACAAGTAAAGGTACTTATAAGTCTGAAAGAGATGGAAGGCTAATTGTTGTTGAGAGAATGTGCCATACACAATAACAGCATAAGAAAGAAGACTCTCACCGTGAAGACTTTAGATATCTACGTGACACTAATTTCTTTTTTTTTTTTTACATCTCTTCTTCTCATGTTTGGATATCATGAAATGAACGGAGTGGAATTTTTTTTTTTTTTTACATCTCTTCTTCTCATGTTTGGATATCATGAAATGAACGGAGTGGAATGGAGAAGAGTAGAGTGTGATGAAGCGGAATGAAGTGGAACGGAACGAAGATATCATTCCATTGTTTGGAAACTTTAGGACGAAACAATGTAATTTACTCATTCCGCCCAAATCAGAGGGGAAGGAATATGGTGGTAAGTGATGGAATGAAATGAAATCCATACCACTCTATTCCTCTCCGCTCCATCCGTTTTTAAATTATTCAGAAAATAATATTCCATTGTTTGAATAATTCAAAAATGGATGGAGCGGAGCAGAATAGAGTGGTATGAATTCCATTCCATTCCATCACTTACCACCATATTCCTTCGCCTCCGATTTGGGCGGAATGAATAAATCACCTTGTTCCTTCCTAAAATTTTCAAACAATAGAATGGTATCTTCGTTCCGCTCCACTCCATTCCACTCCATTCCACTTCATCTCACTCTGCTCTGCTCCATTTCGCTCCCTTCATTTTATGATATCCAAAGATGAGAAGAAAAGATGTAAAGAAAAAGAAGAAATTAGTGTCACGTAGATATCTAAAGTCTTCACCGTGAAAGCCTTCTTTTTATGCTGCTATAGTGTATGACACATTCTGTCAACAACAATTAGCCTTCCATCTCTTTCAACTTTATAAGTATCTTTACTTTACTTGTGAATCTTCAATTGAAAAGAGATTACAAAAAAAAGGATCACCTTATACCACTATTCTTGAATGCAGAACAAATTTTAAATTTATAAAATATGCATTTCAATATAAATAAAATGAAAACTTATACAGAAAGGAGAATAGATATTTATTGTTAGCAATACCACTATTAACACTGATGTTGGGTCTCGTTGATATCACTATCCAATAATTATAAAGTCAATTTGGGATAGCCTTTACTAATCTCTCTTACCATCTCCATGTTTCCAATTTTCTCAAATTTAATTTTGAATTGTTGATGTAAAACAACGAAGGAATATAAGAAGAGAAAATTTGAATAATTTAAAAACAAATTGAGTGGAGCGGAATAGAGTGATATGAATTTCATTCCATTCTATCACTTAGAACCATATTCCTTCTCCTCCGATTTGGACGGAATGAACAAATTACCTTGTTCTTTCATAAAATTTTCAAACAATGGAACTGTATCTTCGTTCTGCTCCACTCCATTCCGCTTCATCCCACTCTGCTCTGCTCCATTTCACTCTGTTCATTTTATGATATACAAACATGAGAGAAAGATATGTAAAGAAAAAGAAAAAAATTAGTGTCACATAAGTATCTAAAGTCTTCACGGTGAGAGCCTTCTTACTTATATTACTATTGTATATGACACATTCTCTAAACAACAATTAGCCTTCCATCTCTTTCAACTTTATAAGTACCTTTACTTTACTTGTGAATCTTCAATTGAAAAGAGATTATAAAAAAAGTACCACCTTAAACCACTATTCTTGAATGCAAAACAAATTTTAAATTTATAAAATATACATTTCAATATAAATAAAATGAAAACTTATACAGAAAGGAGAATAGACATTTATTGTTAACAATACCACTATTAACACTTGATGTTGGGTCTCATTGATACCTTGTCCGTCGTTTTAGGTAAAACGACTTTTATCTACAGACGTTCTCTGTAGGTATAGCCCCTGTGATTTTTCAAAATTTCCTGCAAGCATGATAAATACATAACAATGGTACATATCAATTCGTCTTGGTCTTGTGAACACCATGGTACCCCTCTTTTGGGCCAATTTTACCTGCATGAGAAATCCCTAAAACGAACAAGAAAACCCTAGCCATGGTGGATCTCAGTTCATGCGTCAAAAATTCAATTGAGTATAACCAAAACATTGCAAATACATTAACAAACACATATATATCATTGAAATATGCTAATGCTGCGTAAATTGTAAGAATGGATTTTGAGTTTGAAGGGCAAACCGTGGGTTTGTGGTTCGAGTTTCCGGCCGTATGGATGCTTGCAAATGATTGTATATGCTTCAGAGAAGGTCCAGGATGCGAATGGTGGTCTTGGAATGGCCTGAATTCCCCCTCTAACTGCAAGAATGATTTCACACTTTTTAATGATTTTTTTGAATCTGATTATGCTCTCTCACGCCTCTAACCCCTCTGCATTTGGTCTGCCAATGTTCTATATGTAGCCTTGAGTGAATTAGGTTTACCAATTTGTTTCAAATCTTCTCCAATAATGACCATTGATCATGATTTTATTCTCATGTAAATCTTTCTAAATCAAGCCAAAATCCAATCTTTTTGTGTACAAACAAGCCTTACACGATTTGATCTCATTGCCAGCTATTCATGGACCTGAAATATGCACAAAATCTCAAGGTTTAAATGATTTTTGATATTTTCATTATTTATTATTGATTTTATTTGATTTAAATGAAATCAAAATCAAAATAAATGACACAAATAAAATAAAGGCAAATGGGAAGGATCATGAGTCGTGGACCATGTTACAAACTAAATACAAGCACAAAAAGTTGGGCCCATTTGACAAAAATTGCAACTTGAGGCATATCTGACTTTTTGCAACTTTACAAAAAAGGTCAACTTCACCCATACATAACTCCTTCAATTTTGACCCTAGAGATGTGTTCTTGGACTTTTTAGAAAGCTCAAGATGTCCTCTAAGCAACACTTTTGGTCTCATCTCAATTGAGTCTTCCATGTTCATGTATGAAGCTTTGACAAAAAAAATATGTTTTTGTTGACCTTTCAAAATGACCTATAATGTCCAAATTCATAACTTCTTGTGAGTGCATATTTTGAACTTGGGAGCTGAAGATGAATTATAGGGCATTTCATCCTATTCAAAATGAGCTTTGTATGGGTCATTCTTGATAAAGTATGAGAAAGTTATGCTTGGTCAAAGTTGGGTTGACTTTTCCTATAAAACCTTAATTTAGCAACTTTTGGGTTTTGATGAATTGTGAGCAATCCTTGAGGAATCATGATCAACCCTTGATCAAATGATGAATAATACTTCAAAATGAGTATGTTGACCAAAAATATTGAAGTTTAACTGTATGTGGGCCATAGTTGACTTTTGCCCTAGCACAGTCGATTTTCAGGCCTTTGAGCAATTGACTGAGTAAACTTCCTCTGTAGGGCTTGAAACTTGACATGGATGATCTTGAGAACATATTAGGGCAATGGTGAGTGTGATACGGTGGGATAACTGACTTGATGTTTTGCATTTCGATCGCATTTGTGCGGATAGCAAGAGTCGCCACCGGCTTTTCTTTTATCCAAAGGAAAGGTAAAAAAGCATAGGAAACACCTTTCGAGATTATTTCTCGGGTTCGGGGGGTAGATCATGAAAAGGGAAGGTATTAGCACCCTTTTCATCCATGGTTTTCCATGGGCTCTTAGTTACTCGTTTAGATCACTTGCTTTTATTTGACAGTGTGCTTGTGGTGTGGGCTTTGAAAGTATTTTGAAAAATCTCTTTGTAATGGTTCTCGTTTCTATAAGAACGCGTACAAAGTTTTGTTTCGAAAAGTGGTTCAAAGATGTGTTTATGAATTGTGTTTCGGAAAGTGTTTTGAAAAGATGTTTTGCAATGGTTCTCGTCTCTATAAGAACATATACAAAATGTTTTGTCTTTTGAAAATGTTTTGAAATGAAAGTGTAGGTGTAAAAATGTTTTTATCGTGAGCAAGCGAGTAACTAGGAGCGAATCTATCTACTCAAAAGGTCTTAAATTATTCTTTTCTTCCTCCTCTTAATGTGGCTATCTTACCATTAATTTGGTAAGAAGTCCCATCGTTGGATGTGAAGGGACAGGCGCGGGTCAATTTTTACAGTAATCGAAGGCAACTTATGAGACGCTTTAGCAATTTTCATAAGGGAAGAGATCGTTTTATCGAAGGCAACATCGAGGGTCATCGAGGGACTACGATCTTTTTTATCGAAGGGTCATTGCTAAGGCGCCCCATATTCGAGGGACATGACTGTATTTTCGAGGAAATGAGCGAGGT